GCGCCTGCCGCACGTGTGGAAATGCGCGGCCGCGGTGCTGCTGCTCCAGGCGCTGGCGCTGCTGGAGCTCCTGGACTTCCCGCCCCTGCTCTGGGTGCTGGACGCCCACGCGCTCTGGCACATCGGCACCATCCCCCTCAACGTGCTCTTCTACAGGTCTGTCACACCCCTGGGCCCGTTGCTTCCACGGGGGGTTTTTTTTATTTTGGGGTGGTGGGAGTCTTGTCTTTAAAACTGAGGTGCTGGGGACCCAACTCTTGAAGTTGGGGTGCCCTTTGGTCCGTGGGATGCTCAGGGCTCCCCCCTCCCACCACCTTGAAATGGGGGTGGCTCAGTGGGGTGTGTCTGTGCTCAGTGGGGGGTTCAGGACTCCCCCAGTTTCCCCCCTTCCCAACCAGCACAGGCAGCTGGAGGGGGGTGTGGACCCAAGAACGACCCTCCTCAGAGCCCCCTGTTTGTCCCCCAGTTTCCTGATGGACGACAGCCTCTACCTCCTGAAGGCCAACTCCGACCTCCTCAAAGTGGACTAGAACTGCTGAGGGGGGCAGGGGAGAAGCCCCTCGTGCCACCCCCCCAGGGTCCTGCCCTGTCCTGTGCCAAGTGACCCCCCGGCTCCCCCCGGCCACGGCCTCCTGCTCCCCCTGGTTGCCTTCTGAGGTTTGTTTTTCCCTCTCCCCCAAATCCCTGTGCCCCCCCTCACCTCTCCCTTGGGGGGGATGGGGACCCCCAGTGCTGGTGCACAGGGGGCAAGGGGCAGCTGAACCCCCCTGGACCCCCCCGGGGCTGAGCCACGAGGTGACAGTGGTCACAGTGGGGAGGGGGACACGGGGGTGACTGTGGGGGTGGGTCTGTGCACTTTTGGGGCCTTGCTGGGCCCTGCTGGGTGTCTCTGGCAGGGGTGGGGGTTGATGTGTGGGTGCCTTGGGGCTGGGGGTGCCCCCCCGGCCCAGAGGGGCTGTGCCCCCACCCCGGGGATGTGCCCCCCACCCCGCCCCCCTTGCCTGGGTGTGCTGTGGGATGTGAATAAAGCTGAGTTCAGCCTGTGCTGGGTTATTGCCCATCTTGTGTCCCCTCCCTGCCCCGAGGCCACCTGCTGTCACCCCATGGGGCACTCCTTGTCTTGAGCCCCCTTTCCCACCCTGTGCCCCCCACCGTGTGCCCCAAATCCCCCCATCGTGACCCCCACTCATCCCATACCCACCCTGTCCTTGCCCTGTTATCCCCACAATGCCCCACATCCCCCCTCTCAGTGCCCCCTCCCCACACATCACCCCTTCCCCACACCTCTCACCGGCTCCGGCTCTTGCCACGACCTCAACCTTTATTCCACCCGCCCGGGAATTTGGGGAGGGGGATTCCCGGGGTTTCCCGGGCTCAGCGCTGGGGGTTTCTGGGCGTGGGCGAAGAAGACGCCGTGCACATCGTCCACGCCGGTGCGCAGGGCGGGGGGCATCTCGTAACTGCGCAGCTCCCGCAGCGCCAGCCCCGCGCCCGCCAGCGCCGCCCGCACGTCGGCCAAGGCCAGCGGCACCACCGGCAGCCGCGCCGGCCCCGCCAGGTAGAAGGACTCGCCCAGGGCCCCCAGGAGCAGCGCGTGGCCCCCCGGGCGCAGCAGGGACCCCACGTGCAGCAGCGCCCGCGCGAAGGCGGCGCGGTCGGGGCTCACGGCCTCCAGGCAGAAGGCCGAGAGCAGAGCGTCGGCCGGGGGGTCCAGGGGGGCCCCCAGCGGGTCCGGCCGGTGCACGTCGATGGGCAGGATGCGGCGCAGGCGATCCCGCAGCCGGCGCTCCTTGTCCTGCCACGGCTCCCTGGGGAGAGAACAGGGAGGGGGGAGTAGGGGGGGGATTGATGGGGAGCACAGGGATGTGGGGATGGGATTGATCCAGGACCCACAGGGATGTGGGGATGGGATCCTGCAGGGATATGGGGAGGGGATGAACCCAGCACACACAGGGATGTGGGGATGGGATCGACCCAGAATGCACAGGGATGTGGGGATGGGATCAACCCAGAATGCACAGGGATGTGGGGATGGGATGAACCCAGCACACACAGGGATGTGGGGATGGGATCCTGCAGGAATGGGGAGAGGGGATGAACCCAACATGCACAGGGATGTGGGGATGGGATCAATCCCAACATGTGGGGATGTGGTTGCCTCAGAACCCACAGGGACGTGGGGACAGGACCCTGCAGGGATGTGGGAGTGGAATTGTGCAAGGGTATGGGGGGATGGAATCAATCCAGAATCCCAATCCAGAACGCCCAGAAATGTGGGAACAGTGCCTTGCAGGGGTGGGCCCAGCACCCACAGGGACAGGATCCCCTGGGGATCAACCCAGCAGCCATGGGGATGTGGTGGGAGGGGATCTAGCAGGGATTGATCAGGAACATGCAGGGATGTGAGGACAGGATGAACCCAATACCCACAGAGATGTGGGGACAGAATCCCATGGATATGTGGGGCCGGGACCTTGCAGGGATCCCCCCCAGCATTCACAGGGGTCCTGGGGGGGCCGTGATCCCCTGGGATTTGGGGACATGATCCTCAGGGATCATCCCAGCATCTGCAGGAGCATGGGGCCGTGATCCCATGGGATTTGGGGACAGAGTCCCACAGGGATCACCGCAGTGTCTGCAGGGATGTGGGGCTGTGATCCCGGGGGCCTCGGGCACACTATCCCTCAGGGACCACCCCAGCACCACCCCTGTCCCCCTGCACCCCCCCACGACCCCTCCCACCCCCTCCTGCCCCCCTACCCGCGGCCCTCGATCTTGCAGACGTGCTGGATGAAGGGGCTCCAGTCGAAGGCGCCGGGGTCCGCCCGCACCCACCGGCCCAGCTCCTCCCTGTTCACCGCCAGGTAGTCGGTGGCCACAATCTCCTCGAAGTGGTCGCAGGCGCTCAGCAGTTGGTAGATGGTGGGGCCCGAGCCCACATCGATCAGGGTCCGGCCCTGGATCTCACCTGGGAGGGGGGACACACACACACACAGAGGACATGACTGAGGGGTCCCCACACCCACCCTGGAAGACCGGGAAAACCCGGGCGGGCGGTGGGAGCTGCCCCCAACGTGGGGTGTGGACGCAGTGGTGCCCCGTGCCTCAGTTTCCCCGCCCCTCTGCAGGGTTTTTGGGGGGATCCCCGAGCCCCCCCCTCACCGCTAGCGAAGGTGTCTGCGAGGCATCGCAGCTTCCAGGGCACCACGAACTCCTCGGAGGAGAAGTCTGCGCGGGGGGGGAGGTAATTGTTGCGCAGGTACGCGCGGGGGTCGAAGCGCTCGTAGCCCTCGCGGAGCTCGGCCAGGCTGCTCATGGCGCGGGGGCTGCGGCTGCCGGGCCCGGCCATCGCCTTTTATCCCTGTGCGAGGCCCTGGGGGGGCCACGGGGAGCCGTGACGGCCCCATCCATCCAGCCCCCCCGTCCCTCCATCCATCATCCATCCCGGCTCCCAGCCGCCCATCCATCCCCGGTAACTGGGTTAGCGCCGGAGCCCCGGAGCCATCCCGGAGCTGATAACGCTCTGCTGCCCTTCCTGGGCTCAGGGATCCAGGAATCCTGGCCCAGTCCCCGTGTCTGGGAGATTGGGACACCCCCTCCCCAAACCCCTGTGCTGCCCCAGCAGGCCTGGGAGTGCTCATGAGTGTCCCATGGGATGGGAATGGGGAGGGATTGGGATGGGGAAAAGGATGGGAAGGATTTGGGATGGGGGGGAGAAACATGATGGGGCTTGGGAAAGGGATGGGAATAGTGTGGGATGCGGATGGGAAATGATTGGAAAGGGATTGGGATGGGAATGTGGAGGGATTGGGATGGAACGGGATGGGGATGAAAGTGGGAATGGTTTGGAATGGGATGGGGATGGGCATTGGAATGGCTATAGGAAGGGACTGGAAAGGGATAGGGATGGGGATGGGGATTGGGATGGGGATGGAAAAGGGATGATGGGGATGGAAAAGGGATTGGAATCAAGTGGGGTTTGGGATGGGATGGGATGGGATGGGATGGGATTGGAATGAGGCCTATCCGAGCTCTCCATCACCAGAGAGCCGAGTGTGCTGGACCTCAGCCCAGCCCTGGCAGGAGCTGCACCATCTCTGCCAGCTCCCAGTGCTCCCAGTGCTCCCAATGCTCCCAGCACCCTGTGACAAGGAGCAGGATGAAACCCTCTTATGGGACTGTGGGGAGGGTTAAAGCCCCCAAATCCTGCCCGTGCCGGAGCTGTGGGTGGGTGAAGGGGAAGGGACAGGCGGCTCCTGAGAGGAAGGGTCGGGAATGGGGCCGGGATGGAGCCAGGTCGGGCACAGGGAGGGCACAGGGCCTGGCAGGGGCCCAGGGACAGCGGGATCCGGTTGGGAACAGCTAATCTGGGCACGGGGGCCATCCTGGATCCTGGCACCAGGGCAGGAGACAAGGGGGGTTATATAAGCCCAAGGCTCCCCCCTAAACTCCCACAGGACACCCGTGTCCCTGCAGCTGCTGTGCCTCAGTGTCCCCCGGCCCACAGAAAGTCCCTCTCCCCCTAAGCCTCGCCCCCCATCCTCCTGTCCCCCCCAAAAACACACCTCCTGCACAGCGTGAGCCTTTTATTGCCGTACAAAGACCGTCGTTTGTACAACCCCAGCCCACCCACCCACCTACCCACCCCCGCCGCCCCCTCAGGGCCCCCTCGGCCCCGGGCGGGTCTCCACGCTCCTCATCCTCACATTCCCGTCTCTTTGCCAGGGAAACTGAGTCACGCCGGTGCTGCCGGGAGCCCCTGAAACGCGGGAGCCCCCGACCCGCAGGGACCCCGTCCCGACCGGCCCCCACCGCGCCCTCAGCGGGGTGGGCTCCCAGGCACACGGGAGCCCACCCCCACCTGCCCCCTCCCTCCTGCGCTGCCTCTTCGGGGTGGCTGAGCAGCCCCAGCTCTCTGGGTGCCCCCAGCCCCCCAAAATCAGCCTCGTGACCCCCCACCAACCCCGACCTCCCACCCCTCCCCGGCCCCTCCACCCCGCTCAGCCCCGCTGGGCTTCGTGGGAGAGGGAGCGGGAGAGGGTGCGGGGGAGCCCCCCCTTGGCTCCGCGGAGGTCCGGGGGGGCGAAGAGGGGCAGGGGGAGGCTGCGGGCGTAGGGCAGGAGGTGCTGGGTCAGGGGCTGCCCCAGGACCCCCACCCGGATCAGCCCCCAGGGCGAGCGCTGCTGCAGCACCCGCGTGGCCCCGCGCTGCTCCAGCGACTCTCGGCGCGCCGTGTCCACCTCCCGCCGGCACCACCTGGGCACGGGGCGTTCGTGGGGGTCAGGGCGGGGACCCCAGAGCCCCACGGGGATCCCCCAAGCCCTGCTCTGGCGTGTTGGGGTCACCCCATCCCGCCGGGAGTCCCCCCTCGAGTCCCATCCCCATCCCATGGGAAACCCTGGAGATCCCCTTCTCCCACCCCATCAGGGTCCTTGGATCCTATAACCCCCAAACCCTATGGAAACACCCCACTTTGGGACCCTTGGAGTCTCCAGCAGCCCCGAGAACCCACGGAAACCCCACAGTTTGAGACCCTTGGAACTGCCCAAACCCCCATCAGGACTCCTGGAGCCACCCACAACCCCAAGACCCCATGGAACCCCATGGAGCCCCCCCAGTCCCCAGACCCCAGGGAAACCCCACAATTTGGGACCCTTGGAACCACCCAAAGCTCCCATCAGGACCCCTGGAGCCGCCCACAATCCCTAGACCCCCATGGCACCCCTAGTTTGGGACGCTTGGAGCCCCCCACACCACCAGGACACCACAGAAACCCCCCATTCCGGGACCCTTGGAGCACCCCCCAACCCCACCACCCCACAGAAACCCCCTGTCCCGTGGTGCCCGTCGCCCCCAGCACCCCCAGGCCCCCCAGCCGTGCCCCTCACCCCTCCTCGGGCCGCGTGCTGAGCTCCAGGTCGAGCCACTCTGCGCTGAAGGTCTCTCCCTGCCCACGTCCTGCTCGCTGACAGAGCAGCCCAGGCGGGCTGAGAGCCCCCCACTGCAGCCCCCCACCACGTCGGAGCCCACCATGGTGTCAATGCCCCCCCGCCCCGTGCCCGCCCCGCTTTTATGGCCCCGCTGGGGCTATTTTGGGACGTGTCTCTGGCACGGCGGGCACGGGACGGTGCCAAGGGGGATGGGGGGTTTAGGGGTGGCACTGCTGACATGTGTCACCCTGGCGTGTGCCACCCACGGGTGTGTCCCCCCCTCACTGCCAGCAACGTGATGGCACCGGCAGGACCCCCCCTGACCCCCGCCCAGGGCACGTTTGGCCTTTTCCCTGCTCCCGGGACCCCGGAGGGGGTGAGGAAGGCAGGGGTGCCACTGCCAGTGCGGTGCCACTGCCACCCTGTGCCTCAGAGTGACATGGGGGGCCCTCCCTCAGGGCAAAGGGGGTTTTGGTTGCAGGGCCCACCCCAAACAGGCTGTTTATAGTGCCCAAATAGGCTGTTTATAGTGCCCAAATAGGCTGTTTATAGGGCCAACAGACAGGGTGCCCACTGGGTGACAGCAGCCCAGGGCTCACAGGCACAGGGATGGTGACAGGGGCACGTGGGGCTCCAGCCCCCCCCTCAGACACCCCCCAGCCGTGGGGGTCCCACCTCAGGGGAGCAGCAAAGGGTGGGGGACACGGGGGGCACTCAGTGCAGATGTGGAGGCTCCTTGTCCATGGAGCTGCCACGGGGTGGGGGACAAGGACACCCAGGAGCAGCGACACCCACGGCCACTGCCACCCACAGCCAGCGGCCAAAGGAGCTGGGAGACCCCACCCTTTGTGCCCGAGGGGGGCATTTGGGGTGACCCCAGCCCCACCCCTGAGCTTCGACTGCCGCGGGTGACAAAGGGCACGAGGAGCTGCAAACAGTGCAAGGCTTTAATTCCCCCCTCACCAATTTTTGGGGGGGGGCAGGGGGGTCGGATCCCCAGGCCATGGCTGGGGGGGTGCAGAGAGCCCCCTGGAGCAGGGGGGGGTTGCTCTGGGTGCCCCCCCTCCCTCAGTGCAGCCCCCGCGTGCGGAGGGGGCCCCTGCGCTGCTGCTGCTGCTGCTGTGCTGTTTTTAGAGCAGCACACGGCGCTCACAGGTAGAGAAACCGCAGCCCCCGCGCTCCCCCAAACCCCCCTCCCCCTACACCCCCAAAAAGGATCAAAGTCTCTGCTTAAGGCAAATCCCGCGCCGGGAGCTGCGGGATTGGGAAGGGGGAGGGGGTTTGTGCAGTCCCAGCCGTGCCCCGGGGTGGGGGGCACAGCCCCAGGGTGGGGGGCACATGGGGGTCACAGCTGAGCCCCCACCCCCTGTGTGGGGCAGGGGGGACCAGCCCAGCCCCGGAGAAGGGCAGGGCAGGGGTTTGGCACGTAACAGTCAGTGGTTCCAGGGCCCCAGTGAGGGGGCAGGAGGAGCTGAGCCCCCCAGCGAGGGGTCCCCTCTCTGGGAGGGGATTTGCAGGGTCCTGTCCCCCCCCCTTCCAGAGCAGAGAGGGCCGTGGAATGTCCTCAGGGCTTGGAGCAGAGCTCGGCCACGCGCTGGCGCAGGTGGAAGGCGAACTCGAACATGGTGGCAGCCAGGCTCTGGTGGATCAGGTACCGCGGCAGCCGACCCTGCAGGGACACAACGGGGCTGGCACACGGGCTGGGGGCTGAGGGGTGGCCCCATCCCACCCCTGGGGCTTCCAGGGACACAGAATCACCAGCACAGGTTTGGGAATGAGAGCTGCCCCTTCCATCCCACCCCCAGGAGTTGCAGGGATGCAGGAGCCGTGAGCGAGGTTTGGGGCTCAGGGCTGCCCCTCATCCCATCCCATCCCATCCCAGGGTGTTCCAGGGACAGGGACACAGAGCCACGAGCAAGGTTTGGGGTTGGGGGCTCTGGGGATGCAGCCTGGAGCCTGAGAGCCTTGTGTGAGGTTCGGGCTGGGGGCTCCAGGGACACTCCAGGAGCACCCACGGCGCGGAGCTGCGGCTCTCGTGGAGCTCCGAGCCGGGGGAGGATCTGCAACGTGGTTTGATCTCCCTAAAAAAGCCCTGCACGACTCACCCCCACCCGCCTCGGCCTCGGCTCCGTGATGGGAGATCCAGGAAAAAAATAATAATCCCAGTCTCTGCAGGGGTGGGGAGGGAGCCCAGGAAGGGCTGGGAGCTGCTCTGGGGGTCCTGAGCAGGGATGGATGAGGGGACAACTATCCTGGGGGTCAGGCTGGCACAGGACAGCCCCCTGCCCTCAGATTGGGGGGTTCCAGCACAGATTTTGGCCTGCAGGGGGTTTCCTCTCTGATTAAAGGGCAGGAGAGTTCGAGGCCGCTGTTCCAGGGGCCGTTTCAGTCACCTCCCCACAGGGACCCAAACACACACATCCCACCCCCTGGAGCAGGAAGGGATGAGCCACGGGCTATAAATACCCCTCCAGGGCCAAAGGAAGCAGCGAGGAGCTCCGGAGGGGGTCTGGGCACTGGCAGAGCCCCTGGGGAAGGCGCTGGGAGCAGTTGGGGGTTATTTATAGCTCGGCCGCTCCGGAATTCCTTCCACCACCGCGGAGGCGGCTCCGGCCCGGGAAGCACAAGGAACCTCTTCTCTTCCCGAGCCCCGTCTCAGGGGTTTGTTATCCCCCCTCTCCAAACCCCTTACAGGCATGGGAGCCAGACCCATGAAGGACACAACGGGGAGGGAGGGCACTGCCCATCTCCAGCGAGGCGGGCAGGAGCCTCTGGGGGAAGGGAGGGGAGGGGAGAGGGCCGTGGGAGGGGAGGGAAGGAGGGAGGGAGGGGAGGGCCCGGGGGCCGCAGCGCTGCAGCACAGCGATGAATGGAGCCTTTGTGCCGCTGCGGCAGCGCCGTTACCACGTCAACATCCCCAACCTTCCGCGGGGGAAGGAACGGGCCGGCCCCGCTCCCGCCCCCGCCCCAGCCTGGGACACCCGCAAGGCCACGGGTGGCAGCTCCACAAAATGCTCCAGGCCTGGGAAACCTCCTTCTCCCGGGGGTGGATACGGGGTGGGGGGTGTTGGAGCTGGGAATTGCCCCTCTGGAGTGTTCCTGGGAGCAGCCAGGCACAGCTGCCGTGCCCATCTGGTTTTGGTCCCCCAAATGGATAAAAACATCCTCTCCCCCTAGTTCTGCACTCAGAGGTGAAGCCCCTAAATGAAATCTTTCAGGTAAGGAAGAGCCTGCCCGCCTCCTCATCGGGGCAATGATGGGGATTTTGGGGTAGTTTAACCTCCACCTGAGCCCCTCCAGGGCAGTGTTTGATAAGGAACCACTCCAATGGCTGCTGGGATCCAGGAGCAGGGCCCTGGGATGCTGGAGCCCCCAGGAGAGCAGTGCCAGGAACCAGGGACTGGCTTTACCTTCAGGTCCGTGTTGAGAATCCAGATGAAGGTGCAGACCCTGGGGTTGCTGGGACACTTCAGGACGATGAAGCCTCCGGGTCCATTCTCACCCCTGTGGAGCAGAGCCAAGAGGATCAGGCAGGGCCCGATTCCTGGCTGGAATCCCGCACCGCTCCGCATGGATCCCGCCTGGCAGCCAGGGCCGGAGCCCCGTGGGGCAGGAGCAGATGTGGAGAGCCTGGAAAGGTGTTCCTTGGCTCCAGGAGCACGAGCCAGCACGGCAGGGCAGGCTTCCCACAGGTGCCTTGGCACTGGCGGTGCCAGAGCAGCAGCTCTGCCTCTGGATGGTGCCAGCTCTGCCCCACGGGAAGCTTTCCCAGCCAGGCACAACCAGGAGGTCCCAGGGAAGCCCTGTGTGCTCAGGACAGGCTCAGGGGACAAGGATCTTGTCACTCCAGCCCCCAGATCCTTGCTGGCACCATCTGATCCGTCTCTGAGACGGGAGCTGTGCACAGATTTCCCTCCCCTGCCCAGAACACGCTGTTTTCGCTGGGTACATTTGTCGAAGGATTTTTTTCCAGGCCCCGAAGTCCCCTGCTCTTAAATGGAGCGAGGCAGCTCCGAGATAAAATGGCAATTACTTTAACCAGATTATTGGGAAGGGCGATGTGGGAGCGTGGCAGCACAGCTGGGCCCCGGCAGGAACAAGGAGTCCTTGTCTGCCGAGCCCGACCCTGCCAGGGCCCAGCACCAGCCCAGCCCTTCGGAATGGGAGAGACCAAAGCCCTGCTGAGATTTTGGGAGCTGCTCCATCCTTCTTTCACCCACGGGACCCTCTCTCCATGTCTTAAGCTCGGTTTACGAGGAGCAAAAACGCGTGTGAGAGGCTGGGAGCGTATCCAGCTGTTTACTGCCCTCTGAAATTCCTGCTACACAAACAGGATGTGGAGTGGGGGACTGGGACAGGGCTGCTGCTGCTACTGGTCGGGCACCTCCACTCCCCTGAGGTGGGAAACGCCCCAGCAACGCTGACAGCACAGAGAGTTTCTTGAACAAAGGGAGACGAGCAAGGGAAGCGAGGTTTCAGCTCCACAAATAGCTCGGCTTCCTGCAAGCCCTGCCAGGAAAGGCAGCAGGGTTTGCAGCTAAGTGGCTCTTTGCCCTAAAGCTTCGTTGGGAGTGAGTGATCCCAGCTCAGAAAAACAGCCCCTGCCTCTTACCTGACGTACTTGGAGAGAGGAGGCTTCAGGCTGTGCGTGGTCGAAATCCCTGAGGAAACGTACCTGTCCCTTCTCCTCTCGATCCGACGCACGTTCACGAAATCCCTGAGCAAAGAAAGGGCACTGCCTGCTCAGAGCACACACATGGCATGTGGAGGGAGCAGATCCCGCTCCCCTGACTGCTGGGAAGGGCTGTGGCAGGGCTGTGTCAACACGGGGACAAAGCACAGCCAGCACTGATACGTGGGAGCCCGACCGAGCGGCCGCCTGAGGTTTGGAGCTCTTGAGAATCCTGCCAGGAATGTCTGGAGGAAAATTTCAGGGGCTGCTCGCCCTTGGGAGGGTCACACAGTGGTGACACCGGAGCTCCCAGCCGGCCCAGAGCGTTCCCAGTGCCCTCAGAGGGCTCTCCCTGTGGTTTGGGGGGTGTTTGGGGGCTCAGGATGAACGGAGTGGGATGAACCGACCTTGGGGAAACCACCCCTCCGGCA